TTAGCACTTCCAACACTTTAGCAATGTTTTTACAAAATTCAACAGATTTGAATTTATGAACATACATACATACATATGTAAATATGTACATGTAAGTATGTACATATAAATATCTAGGTGTATATTTATATAGAAGGTACACAAGTATTTATAAATTAAACCGTTTTGTTTTATTTGTATAAGAACAATTGCTTTCTTCAATTATTGAGCTCAAAGCAGTACACTTTTTTTTCAAATTTCACCTTCATTAATTTCTTAATGTAACCACATTGATCGCATTCTTTTATTTAATTGTATAAATAAGAATTTAAGATGCACAAAAGGTAATTGATCTTACATTAAACTCGAAAAAATAAAAAATAATAATAGCACCCGCACGCACGCATCGATTCAATAATGGCAACTAAATTTACGTAGTTTCAATAGAAAAGGGAATAGCGGAATTTTTGACTTTGCGTTGTCTCTTGTTGTACTTGGTTTCATATTCTATTTTTTTCCTTTGCTCAAAGTACAGTTTTTTTTCGCGTGCCCAACTTCTTTTTTGGCACTCTTTCGTCGTCTCGCAATTCAATTAATGAGAGTGCTGCATACTCGACTATCGTTTGAGCTACAGCAATTTGCATTTAATTACTAATCTATCGGGTCGCATTGCATTAATTATTTACAATTAATACTATTGGCAGGCAAAACTAACTTTTTACATTAGAGTTAAATTTATGCATTAAATTCAACAAGGTCGAATTCAATAACCCCCAAGACGATACTCGCACCCATATGCCCAGTGTGAGTGCAAGTAGTGCATCGATATGCCATTTTGAGTGCTTCACATATTGCAGACAGATCTTTTTGCTGTTTCTTTTTATTATTTTTTGTTTTAGTGTAACACCCGCCTAAGGGTCAAATTTTGCACGCTGTCATGTGTGTGTGACCGTGATCCATGCAGCGGGCCAGTCACAGACTGGCGGAACGAGTGCAACACGAACTATTTTAATGGACTTGGCATGGCACAGCCGCGGCCATGTGAGAAGAAGAAGAAGAAGACATCTGTGGCTGTGCCACCAGACTATGCCATCTCCAATCATCTAGCAGTGTGTGTGTGTATGTGTGTGAGTGTGAGTGTGCACACGCCCGTTAATCAGCTTTGCTTGGAGGCCTTTCATCAAAGCGCAGGCGGCACCCACAACAGCAACAACAATAACAACAGCAACAACAACAGCAATACAAAAACGAAACAGAACAGAAAACAGATTAAGCATACGACGTGTTGTGCAGTTAACCGAACTCCTAGCAACAACAACAACAACAACCAATTGGTCAACTAACGGTTTGGCATGCGTTGTTGACGCTGAGACTGCTGCAAAGGCTTTTTTCACTCTGAGATTTCGACTGCGACCTGGCGGCAATTGTAATTTATGATTCGAAGCGCACGGCGTTCAAATGATCTATTGGCGCGCCGTCATTCGCCCCATTCAAGTGATTTTCTTAAGAGGCGGCTCGTTGCACTCTTCATCATACGCTGGGCACTTGTTGCAGCGGCATTTATATATGTTTGTACACATACATACATACATACATATGTATATATAACATAACAGTTAAAATGAATTATTGCAGCGCATACGAAGCTCGACCCAAGGGCCTTCAACTGTTATCAAACTGTGTTATACTAGATGTGGCCAACTTGATGAATGGATTAATGAAGTCCACATGAGACTGGGTAGACCGCAGTACCATGACTGTTATACCAGATGTTGGCAGTTGAGTGATGAATGGCTTACTGAAGTCACTGTGTGAAGCTGTCTAGGCTACCCGCCTTTAATGTTATATAAATGTTAGTAAGGGAAGAATAATGTAGTCAATTCGAGGCTGCATGGGCCGCCTGCCCTCAAGGACCTTCAACTGTTATACAAAATGATGAATTCAATACAAGGAGGCAAGACTGTTATAAAAGTGCCACCTCGGTAGGCCTGGACTGTTATAAAAGTGTGATACTAGATGTGCGTGACCGTTAACTTCAACTACAGCTGTTATATAATTGTTATAATATACTTTGTCAATCGATCAATTATGGATAAATCGCATCAATAACAAAATGGGTGCGTATTTTTATCATTGGTAAACTTTATTCTTTACATTTACATACAATCGTTTAAAATTATGTTGTCCAATTCGACATGGATTCCACTTGAGAGTAAAAGGTAAACAAGGTGCGATCAGGCGAATCTCTAAATACAAGTTTAGGGCACATTCGCCAATCGATATGTCGCACACACAGTTCAATACCTTTCAAGCATTACAAATACGAATTTGTATATATATATATCTTTATATATATGTGTATAGTGTTGTGTGTAATTGAAACTGTGTATTATAGAAAATGATTTGCATTAATATATGAACTACGTAAATTTTAAACTATAAAAAACTGGCTACTTTAGGGGGTTACGATAGCCACAAGTGCTCAATTGTTGTTGGTGTTGTTGTTGTTGTTGTTGGTTTTGTTTTGTTTGTTGTTTGTTGTCTGCAGCTCACGTAAAATGTACAAATTCGAACTGACAGCGCAAATATGTGTTTTGTGTCTGTGTCTGTGTTTGTGTTTGTCAATAAAAACTAGAACTATTTCTTCTTCGCCTCGATCGTTCGCTCATGGTGCTGCCGCTGTTTATGCTGTTGTTGCTCCCGTTGCTTCTGTTGCTGCTGCTGCTGCTTCTGTTGTTGCTGTTGTTGATGCTGCTGCTGTTGTGTGCGGCCACCGCTACTGGTGCTGCTGCTGCTGCTGCTTTGCGCTTGTGCCTTGGGCAATGACTATAATGGCGGCGGCTCATAGTGAAAGCCCGGATTATTGAATTTAAAGCGCGCGATCTCAAACTGCAGCGTCTCATAGTTGATGTCAGCCAGGCGCTTCAATTGATGCGCTATCTCCTGCGCATCCAGCCCACTCAATGCGGCGCCCAGTGTGGTGGCCTGGCCATCGTGATGCATCTTTGTGTTGTGCAGCGTCGGCAGCGAGGCGCCCGTCTGGATGGTTGTATAAGAGCGCGGCGCATTCTTAACTGCAATCGAAAGATAGCAACGAAAGTGTTATACGATTACAGCTCATTTAACTGGCCAACTGTTCTACACTCACCTTCGTAGATCACCTGATCTCGTCGTAATCGCTTTACGGGCAATTCACCGTTAATTAGCTTGGTGGCGCTGCCGCTGGCCGAATGTATGTTGGGCGTGCACACAAACTTGACGGGATCAGCGGTTGGCTCCGCATGATCCTGATCCTCTTCCACATACGTGGAATTGTCCACGACAATGGTGCGATAGCCACCGCCGCTTGTATTCACGGCCGTCGTGCCGCCCACAGTGGGCCCGTCGATGCCGCCGCCGGGCTCGTGCATGTTCTCATCGGTGAGATCCTCCTGATCGACATGCTCCTCCACCATTTCATCCTCGTCCTCGTCATTGATGGCCTCTTCGACGGCCGCTTGCAGTTCCTTTTGGAACGAGGCCGATGTGCGTTGTCCCAGATCCTCCATATCATCCTCCTGATCATCTTTCTCCGATTTCAAATTCATCAACGCTTCCCCCGATCCGGGCACCTTGCCAAACAGATTTAGAGCACGCGTCTCTAGCGATGACATCGATATATCCTTCTCGCTGGACATCAGGCTGCGTCTGTACTTGCATCGCGTCGTGTTCTTCCAGTCGTTTAGTCGCTGCAATCAACAAATATTTGCGCGTCATTCATTTGCCGCCAATAATCGCATTGCCTCCCTACCTCACACCACCCGCTGCTATCTACAACATAACGGGAGACCAACACAGGCCTAAGCGCGCGCACACACGTACACACACACACACACATGCACACATGCAAATACTCCCACTGAGACACAAACAGACACACACACACACGCAGATAGTTATAAAGGGCGAAAACTCACCTTGCGCCATTCTTCGGCTGTTAGTGTCGGTCCCGATGAGCATTTGTTGAGCCTGTCGGAGAGCTCTTTCCATTTTCTCGTCAAATAATTCAGATCATAATCGCGCGGCACGCGTCCGCTGGCAAAAATTGGGTCGCTCTCCATGAGCTCGATATACATTTGATATTGCTCCGAAGAGGTTCGCTTTTTGCGCCTGTCCATTTTGCCAATCCGTGATTTACACGATTTGCCAATAAAAATAGGTTTTTCCTCCGGGAAATACACTGCGAACACGAAAAATTAAAATCGACGCCACCAAAATGCAAACAATTTTTACGCGTTATGCGTTTTTTAGTGCATTTCGTAAGGCGGTGGACAATGCTACTCTTTGCAGACTATCGATAAGCATTGTGGTAAACGCGCAATGTTGCTTTCGCTGAGCGCAGTACGCTGTTCACAATCGATGCAACACATATGTAAAATTTTTACAGTACTCTGTTTTAGTTTTAGTTTAATTTCTAAGAATATGAATTCTTTGCTGCACATAAAGAAACCTGGGCAGCAAATGGCAGTAAATGCTGTTGTCAAATTATTTTATCGAATGCTATCGATAATGCAAAGTGCTGCCCAGCGGCATAATAGTGCTACCAATAAACATACGGCAACTATATAGTGAATACAGCATATAATTTTCTGTCAACTTCAATTGTCAAAAACTTAAAAGAATCGTGAAATAGAAGAATCTAGCAAATTGTAAATTACAACCGGTAAAAGTGGCAATCGAATGCAATACATCAGTATTAGGAAAAAACGCGAATTGATACCGCAAAAACCATGCAAAAAAAGACGCATGTTCAATTTTTGGTCTGTCTAATGCGAACAAGACCAGATGATAGCTAAATCGAGTGTATATGTGAGTGCGAGTGTGAGTGCAAGTGTGAGTGCTAGTGCGAATGAGACAGAACGTCTCGAGTAGAGACATCAAAAGAAGGAAAAAATTACAGATTAAAGCCCGAAGAAAAGTCTCGCTAATTCATTAAGAGTGTTTAGTTCCAGAAGAATTCGTAAATCTATAAATTTATACATAGATACATACATATATATATATATATAATACTCAGTCCATGGCCGATTCACTGCTCATTGAGGAGCCTCATCCCTATATAGAGGATGTGGCTGCCTCTGTTATTGTCGACCCCACAGCTGTAATAGGAGGAGGTGCTGGCCCCGGCACTTTGCCTGCAGCTGCAATGCAATTCGCAGATCTCACAGAGAGCGGCAGCGAAAGCGGCGACGACGTGAGCAGCGATCCACATTTGCAGCCGTCGTCCCAGCAGCAGCAGCAGCAGCAACAACAACAAACACAACAACAACAACAACAGCTGCAACAGTCTGAGAATGGCTCATCCGGACGTTCGTCACCGCCACCAAATTGTGCCATTTGCTTGTCCCGCTGCAGGCGCAAATGTTTCACCGACTCGTGCATGCATCAGTTCTGCTTCAAGTGTCTGTGCGAGTGGAGCAAGGTGAGTCATACGACTCATTAAATTCATCCAAAAAGTTTAATTTCGATTTCATCACATTCTCAGATCAAGGCTGAGTGCCCGCTCTGCAAGCAGCCCTTCAAGACCATCATCCACAATGTCCGCACCTTGGATGACTACGATCGCTATCCGGTGCAGACCAACGCGCCGGAGCATTCGTCTGTGAGCTTCCACTTTGTCAACCTTAGGCGACAGCGCTATCTGAACCAAGGTGTGCTGACCAATGACATCGATGCCGGTGCCACAGATGATTCACTGGACGGCCTCCTGCCACATCCCACTCGCATGCAGGGGCCCTTCAATCGCTTCGAGCCGTATCGCACAGAGTTGCTGAACTTCTATCGTCATGATCAGGATGCGGGCGGTTCGGGTTCACTTAGTCAGCTATGGCGTCGCTATGTCTACGACAGGAAGCTCTACGCGTTGCCCGTGTGCGACAGTCTAACGGGACAGTTTCGTGAGTGGAGCGCACGCTTCTATAGGTGAGCATTGGAATGGACATAATCATGAATCTCTCTCTCTCTATATATATATATGTAATCCTTTCTCTTTCCTCTTTCTTCGCCTGCAGAGACAACCCCGCACAGATGCATCGCCTGATGCCCTGGATCAATCGGGACATTGTCTGCCTGTTGCGCAACCTGCCGCAGAATGTGAGCGAAGTGATGCAGCTGATGCACGACATTCTGCCGATGATCAATATACCGACCCGCACATTCCGTCGCCGCCTGACACCCTACCTGGGCGAGCGCACCAATCACTTCATCCACGAGCTGTTCAATTTCGCACGCTCGCCCTACGACATGGTCGGCTATGATCGGGTGGTGCAGTACTCGGCACGTGTGGCCGAGGAAGTGGAGGTGGATCTGCTCGACTTGGTGTCCAGCAATAACGACGGCATCGCAGCAACGGCCACAGATGGCAGTGGAGGCGGCGGCGGCGTCGGGGGCGGGGATGGCGCTGTTAATGCCAGTGCTGAAGTGGCCAGCGAGTGGAGCCGCCTGCCACGCCCCTCGACTAGCGTTATCGTCACCAATCCCAGTGCAACACATTCCTTTAGCGTCACAATGGCCACCGATGGCAGCGAGCTGCCAGGGATTTCGATACGTCGCACCACCACCTCCAATGTGGGCTCCCAGACGGTGGCCATCAATCTGAGCATGCGCCGTCCGGCCAACGAGATCATCGAGATCGGCGATGATGGCGATGCGGAGGCCAATGCCGAGGTGGCCGCCATCAATGATGGCACCGGGCAGACAGGACGACGCCAGGCGGGCGCCAGTCTGCCCATCAGTGCCCACATCGAGCTGCAGAGCAGCGACTGCAGCAACAGCAGCGACGACGAGTGCGTCTTTGTGCTGGAGCGCAAGCCGCCGCATTTGCGCACACCGGAGCTGGTTAGCCTGGACTCCAACAGTGATTCGGACGTGGTCTTTGTGGACGAGCAGCGGCCCCAGACGTCGTCGTCGTCGCCGGCCAAGGCAACAGATGCTGCAGCTCCTAATGCCGAGGCAACAATTGGCGACGGCGTGGCCAGTGAGCTGTTCATGGGTCCCTCGACCAGCACGGGCGTCTGCTCCAACTCGCACAGCCGCTGGATGGTGCTGGACGATGGGCGTCGCAAGGATCTGTTGCAGTGCAACGGCTTGCCCAAGCGCCATGCGACGCGATCGCAACATCGCCACAGCCAAGCGGCAGCAGCAGCTGCCGCCGGTGGCCGCAGCAGCAGCAGCAGCAGCGGCACCAACTGGACCAACAACAGCAGCAGCAGCAGCGAAGACAGCAGCGATGAGTTCACTGTGAAGTTGAGGAAGAGGCGACCAGCGCGCAAGACGAAGACGCGCAAGCGTGTGGCCCGCACCAACAGCAGCAACAATTTCAAGAACAAACGGCGACGCAAGCAGCAGCAGCAGCCGGCGGAGGAGGAGGATGCGGAGGAGACGCCACGATTGCGCATGCCAAGCAGGAGCAAGAGCCAGAGCAGCGACAGCAACAACAACAACAACAACAGCAGCAGCGGAGATGAGAGCAGCGATGGAGCAGGTAAATGAGAGAGAAATCAAAAGAAATTGAAATTGAAATCGAAATGAAATTGAATCAACCTTCATCTCGTAGGTAACAAGGCAAAGAGGAAGCGCAACAATATGAGCAGCAGCAGCAACGATGAGAGCAACAGCAGCGATGATGACAGCACAGATAACCTAAAGCTGAGCACACTCAGAGAGCACATTAAAATCGAGGTAAAGCCGCGCAAGTATGAGCTGAAAGCCGAACAGCCAGAAGCAGAGGCAGGGGCGACGGTGGAGCAGCACTGCCAAACAGCAGAGCCCATGCTGAATGTGAAGAGCAGCACGCATCAACGACGTCGCAATAGCTGCAACAGCAACAGCAACAGCAACAGCAACAGCAGCCATCAGAGCCATCTGTCCAGTCGCAGCAATAGCCAGAGCTTGAATAGCAGCACCGTGGCCAGTCAGTGCAATACCATGTCCAGCTTCTCGCCCCTCAGTCTCGCACTCACTAGCAATTCGGCGAGTGGCATGGCAATGCATTACCAGAGCGCCAGGTTGATGGGGCTGCCCGGCGGCAGTGTGGACAGGGCGGACAGTGAGCAGTCGGAGGCGACGTTAAGCTATTTGCACACAAGCGCCAGCAGCAGGCGTCAGCGGGCTGTCGATGAGGAGGCGCAGTTGGGCATTTATTCGGATGGCAGCAATGATGACTTTATCATTGATGTGGTGCGGGAGGCGGAGAGTAGCCTAATGAATGAATCTGTGGAGGGAGAGCCGGAAGTGCAGCAGCAACAGGAACAGCAGGAGGAGGCAGCTGAGCAACCCAGTGTTGCTTCCGAAGAGGAGGATCACGGCGAAGACGAAGAGGAGGGGGAGGATGATGATGACGAAAATGATGAGGATGCGGGTGAGCATGACCAGGAGCAGGAAACGGCTGACGATGATGCAACCGATGATGCTGAAGATGCTGCAGACTCTCCGGCACCCGATACCGAGGCCAGCGACTCGGAACAGGATGCAACGGATGCCTACTAAGACGCCTTGCCGCTTGCTAAAGCACGAACTGTGGTTTTTTTTTGTAAAACGATTTTTAAACACTTTTTGTTTTTAAGTAGTTGTTCTTAACAACGCCCGTGTGACGTTCTCTTTTAAAAGCCCCCATTTAAACTTGTTGACTATACCTAAAATGAAGCAGACGAAGAAGATGAAGAGAATGACTCCCGATTTATACATATATCTAGAGATTAATGTTAAACGCAGGACGCGAAAACTTTTGTAGTCTTGAGGCCGTTAATTAAGCTTAAGCTTGAGTTTTTAAGTTGTACATACATATACTTGGCTATATATACACACATATTCATTGTATTATATAAATGCATTGGCTCCCATTAACCCACCCATATATACACACACACACACACCCACACATCCCTTACATGCGCCTCTGTTAAATCCGTTTACTCCCGTGCATTAATTTGTAAATGTTTGTACTTAGATAAGTCACTCGTAATTATACAAATACGTATATACATACACATATATGTATAATTATACATACATATATATAATCGTTTTAAGCCTAGTTTATCAACGCTAAACTCAGTGTAGCAAACAAAACAAAATGTTTCAACAAAACGCAAACGAAATCCATTATGCATATGCCAAATGCTGAGCATATCCAAAGTTTTTAAATTAGTGAACAATTTTTTTACAAAATTTATTATTAAGTTCTTCAGTAAATGCAATAATTGTATAAAAATAATATTTATATATATATACAGTCTTTATATACATCTGTATATATATACATATATATGAAGCATGGCAATAGTCTGTATCGATTTCTCAGCTGAGTTGCATATTTATTAATGATATATTATACATATATAAATACCTATTTATGCATATATATGTATTTTATATATCATAAATTATTAATTATGAATTTTATTTTGTGTATAAATTGTGCACGTAGTTAATAAAACAAAACAAACAAAATATTATACTATTGTGAATCCACTCTGATTCCTAAACATATATACAAAAAGAAAAAACAAAAATGTTTTGTTATTGTCAGCTAATTCCAGAATCAATATACAATATTATCTTTACCCTTAGCTTTATCTGCTTCAGGATCATATGGCTTGAAGTTCTATAAACAGATTGAGAATTGTTTGTAAGATTTTGTCAGTTGTCTTTGAGCTGCCGTGGCGAGCGTTACATATAGAAATATTTATCGGATTAGCTGTACGACTTAGGCCATATATTTCGTCATATATTATATATAAAAAATTATTTATTATATATATTTAATATGTATATATAAGATCATTGATTATATATATTTAATATTTATATATAACGATTATTTATTATATATATTTAATATTATATACATATATGTAAGCTACAAGGGAAGGTTTTATAGAATGTTTATGCATAGTTCTTATACATATGTACATACATATTGTTAAGTAGATATATGTACATAGACAATAGCGTCTGTCTGTTTATCAACTTCGCTGTTAAGCTCATCAAATTTGGAATAGGTATACATACATAGGTATAGTTAAAATCGACTTATATTGGGCATATAAGAGCATCATAAATAATTTTGAATTGTTATGAAAAACTTCGTCTGCACATAGAAGTGACTTAAGAAGACCAGATCTATGAGGGATATATCATTAATATTGGTCAGCTATATCACATATGTATATATAGCTTCCATAAGTATCAGGAAACTTTCTTAAGTTTAATGAATTTTTCTGTATAAGAACGAAATTCTATAAATGTCAAGCTACTAAAACTCTTTTAAATCTTTCTGGATTATTGCTGATCAGCTTTTGGATGAAAGCTCATCAAAGTCTAACCTTTAGGGCATCCGGAGTCCGAATTAAACATAATTTGGCGACAATTTCCATTCCCACTCCGAACTTGAGGTGATATTTCTCTAAAAGAGCCAGACAGACACACACAGAGAGAGAGAGAGAGAGAAGCTTAGACTGCAGTCTGTTCCATTCATCAATTTTCATATTTCCATATCGATTACTATCGTTATCGATATGAATTTGTGCACCGGCCTCAAGAATTGTGGCAGCCCAAATTTTCCCAGGCAGAAGGCTCGTGCAATTTCTCCCAAAAACTTGGATTTGACCGGTGCAATAAGAAACTTCTGCGAAATTTGGTAAGCTTTATATATATATATGTATAGATATATGTATAGAGAGGTGCGTAGCTTGATCAAATAGACGTAAATATTTAAAACATAAACAAGAAATTCAATAAGTTGCACAGCTCAGGCCATTCCCTCTTTCTCACACACACACACAGCATAAACAATCTGTTTATGGCAGTGAAACGAAGTGGAATTGAAACACAAGAAACGGGCTTTGCCTAGACTGTCAGTCATTTGTTTTGATTTATTTTTCTGTGACAATTTTCGCTTGAATTTTTTATTTTTTTGTGGAATTCTACAGAGGGAATCCTACAATATCAAAGGGAACTGAGCAACACTACATATATATCTGAAATGAGTTCGCGCTATATGGTCTACTGGCGCGTGTACGTCTATGCGAAAAATTTGTATTCGCTGCCGGAAGACACGTCGCGCGGCTACCGTGAATGCACGCCGTTCGTGTACAGGTGATAACTATATATATATATATATAGATATATAGATCGAGCCATATATGCATTCCCTTTGCAGGAGTAATTCGCAAGAGGCGCATCGTTTGCTCTGCTTTGCCAATCGTGAGCTCTCCGTGCTGCTGTGCAAAGCGAAGGGGGATCTGTTGGTCGTCTTCGATGTGCTGCAGGAGCTGCTGCTCGAGGTGAACATGAGGAGCGAGGAGTTCAACATGTCGCTGGAATACTTTCTGGGATCGAAGACCAACCACTTTGTGCACGAGCTCCTCAACTTTGCTCGCTCGCCCTACGACGACATGATCAGCTACGAGTGCAATGTGAACTATCAGGAGAGGCCCTTCGAAACTGAAAATCAGGATGTGGAGACGGAGACGGAGACGGAGGCGGAGACAGAAGCGGAGGCGGAGGAGGAGGAGAAGCAAACACAACAGCAGGGGAAGAAGAAGAGGGTGAAGGAGGAGCCGGTGCAGCTGCCGCCGCTGCAGCTGCCGCTGTTGAGCACTACGAAACTCGTACGCAACTTCGTGGAGTTCTCCAAGTGTGTGGATGAGAATGAGTGTGTTGGCTTGTCGGGTGACCTGGAGGCAGAGGACGAGGAGCCCGATGAGATCGAAGATCTGCTCGATATGGCTGAAGCGAATATGGATTCACCATTGGTGATAGAGCTGCATCGCCTGCTCGCCGAGCACAATGCGGCCAACATGGTGCGTGGCCGTCAGAGGAGCAGCCAATCGAGCAATGGCCAGGGGCTGAACAACACTGGCAACACTGCAGCGGCAGCGGCAGGAGCCGTAGCAGCACCAGCAGCAGTCGCAGGTGCAGCGGCAGGAGGAGGAGGTGCAGCCAGTTCCGTTATGAGCGCCAACTCGCTCTCGGATTGGATATCCGACAACATCAATGGCGCTCCTGTTGCTCCTGTTGCTGCTGTTGCTCCTGCTGCTGCTGTTGCTCCTGCTGCTGCTGCTGCTGCTGCTGCTGCTAGTACTGCTGCTCCCACTCCTTCTGCTGCTCCTGCTGCTGCTGCTATTCCGACTGCTGCTGCTGTTATTGCTGCTGCTGGCACATCGTCCAACTTGCTGAGCAATGATCTAAGTTTTGAGCTGGCCGTCGAGCGTAGCATGATTGAAACCGACATCTGGCCGCGACGTGGCCAGGCCCTAATGCCCATTGCGAGCAACCCACGCAACTTGGCTCGCCCAACTGACGCCGCCACCGGCTCACTGGTGAGCATTCCTCGTCTGCCGGCAACGGCGAGCATCTTGCGTGCGGCGTTCCGCTCGTCGACGCGGCCCCGTGGCTCCAGTGTCACTCCCAAACGACGTCGCACCATGAACCGTGATCCCGACCATTGAGACTAATAACTGTATTTGAGAGACCCATGCACACACACAGACACACACACACACACTTACACACACACAAATACACTCTGTCATGGCCTTTGGCGGCACGTGTCGCATTTTGCACATCTATAATAAATAAATAAAAGAAGAGCTTAACGCATTTAAAATTGCATTAAACAGAATGAACTTTTTTCTTTGTTGAGCTTATTATAAATGGGAAATCGGGGTATATGGGTTTAGAGAACATGTATGGAACAAGCAGAAGGAGGCGTGGGATAGCTTTAGATATGTATATGTATATGAGGAATGTGGCGGGCCAGCTGAGTGGATGTCCGTGAATATCTAGCCGCCTGTTAGTCACAAAAGCTAGACTAGAAATACTTTCTTTACGAAGTTTTCAATTTTCCAACTATCGATAAGAACTTATCGTTATCTAGTTATCGTTGGAATCGATTATTATTCTTTTCTGTTAGCCAAGAAATTCCATTAAAAGCTAGACTAGAAATCTCCTCTTTACGAGCTTCTCATTTATTCTTCAGCAACTTGTTTCGATTTTTATCGACAACAATTTATCGCTATCTAGTTGTCGATTGGCATCGATTATTTTACATATTCTATTAGCCAAGAAATGCCATCAGAGAGGAAGATTTAGGAGGTAAACAATTTCCCTCTGGACTTCAGCTCAAGCGCAGTCGCTACGTCAGCTGCGCAGTAAGCAGAACCCATGTGGAGGCATGCATATGTGTGTGTGTTTGTTATATATGTGTAGCAGAAACTGATAATAATGAGAATATCGCCTCAGGGTATCTCAGGGTATCACTCAGGGTATCTTGCAGTCTGGCAATCTCGATTAGAGCACTTTTACTTTGTTTTTAAAAGGTTTTTAGCATCAAATATTGATAAGCGTTAACGGTTAAAAGGATAACTGAAAAAGGGATCGCTCATCAATAAGGACATGCCATCGACGCAAATTGCGTGCCAAAATATGCCTTTGACGCATATTTTCGCTTCTTTTGTCTTAGCACACACATACACACACAGACACACACACAAACGAAAAAGGTAGGGTCTGCCATGGCGAGCCTCCTCCTCTGGGTGCCGCGGCGCATGAAAAATTGAATTACACGCACTTTTGCGCATAAAACGAGAGGCGAAAGCAACAAAATGTCGACTAAAAAATTGCCACCGCTTTGCTTTTTAGAGTAATGTGAGAGAGAGAGAGAGAGAGAGAGACAGAGAGAGAGAGAGATAGAGAGAGAGAGGGAGGGAGAGAGTGTGGCAGGCTGTCCTCTTGTGGTAGCAAATTTATGGCCAGCAAATCGAGTTAAGCTTTTGTTGTTGTTGTTGTTGCAAGAAAAGGGATAATTTAATTGTGAATGGGCAACAGTTGAATGTAATTCAATGCATATTTGATTTTATGATTTAACAGGTGCGCACAAAAGGTAGTATAATGCATATGATGGGAGCAACGCGGCTAAGAAATATTTGTAGAGGCTAAGACAATTTTGGCTAGAGCCCTGAGCCCTGAATAAGTTCAAAGGTAAGAAGGGAGAAAGTGAGAGAGTGGGGGAGAATGAGAGAGTGAGAGAGAGAGAGAGAGAGATGGGGAGAGGCAGGCGAGCGCCTTAGGCACTTAAATATAAAATATAATCTATTTTCTGCTTCCTTATTTTAAGAGTCTTAAGCTGATGAGAGCCGGCATCGTTAATTCTATGAAAAAAACCTAATTTATCGATATATAATTTATCGATATACCATTAAAAACATTCTCCAAGTGCTCATATCTTAAATTGTTTACTTCAAATAACAGTTTTTAGTAATATTAATATATTTAATATTAATTATATTTTATATTATTAATTTATATTATTTTATATTATTAATATTATTATATTTTATATTATTAATATTATTAGTATTAGATATAATACTAATACGCACTCTTATATTTAATTATTAAATACATACATAAAGCCGAGAGGCGATTCTGTTGGTAAACCTCTGCTATTTTCTTTTGTTAATTGGATATTTATTAGCCCGCCTCTGCACTTATTTGGACTGCCCCATAGATTCATTGATTAAACACTTTAGACATGTTAATTAATATGATATTCAGTCCATTTGACCTTATTTTGACTATTATTAATACATCTAGCTTAACTATGAAAGCCATATGCATATGTACATACATATATAACTCCATGATTGCCTGAGTCTATGCTTTTCTTTAATGATCCAATGGGTATGCTAAGATCATTCACATTTGCATCTCTAAAGAAGTGATACGTCTATTACCCCCCCCATTTACGACCTTTAAAGTAGCTTACTTTAATTCCAAAACTTGACTGTGGCATAAATGTCATTAGGGGTATGCCTGCATTTGATGCTTGGCTTGCCATGGCTCGGCTTGGCTTGGCAAACTAATTTGCGTAATGTTGACGTAAAAAATAAAAACTTTCTATTTGAGTTGCCGACTCGCCCAGTTGTCCAATTGACGGCCACGCCCACAGCGCAGCCAGCGTGCCAACTTGGCTGGCCAAGAAATAAATGCGTAACGCTTACAAAAAACTTTCACAGAAATACCCTGTAAAATGGCAGCGAGTTGAGTGAGCGAGTTAGCTGAAAAACAGCTAAAGTTGAATGTGTAAAATGCGTCGTAAACTTACCGTTAAGTATTAAATATTATATATTATATAAATGTTACAAAAAATAAATACCAAATAAATACCTAAATTCTCCATCTTATTCCAGGGTATATTTAAAGTCTGCAGTCAGAGTGCTGCAACATTTTTCTTTCATTTTACTTAGCAAACTTTTTGCGTTGCATTTGCCGCTTGCAGCTGCACGCATAATGGGGGCGTGTGCTGGCGCATGGGCGTGGCAGGATGCTTATTGGTTTGGCGATTTGATTGCAAAAGTCAGGGAAAAAAGTTTCACAGCTCAGATTTAAGCGTCAAGCTCGAGTTGCAAATGGCGCCGGGCAAGGCGAATGGGATTTATATATATATATGCGAATATATACATATCTATTGCAGAGGCAGATATTACGCATACGCACCGTTACACTTGTTGGCGAACGCATAAATCAAGCGCGGCGCCAACTAAATGGCGCAAATCAGCGCCTCTTTATGGCAGTTCTATGAAAATGAGGCACTAGGCAACTGATACATACATACATAATATACACACATACATATACATATACATATACATAGGTATGTATGTGAGAAACTATATCTAAGCAGCAGCAGGCATCATTATGCAGCCATATCTTTGGAGCGTGTGGGCGCTGGCATGGGCGTGGTCGAGAGAGTTATGGCGCATAAATGTTTAATGCTGGCAGCAGTTTTGCAGCTTATCTTAAATTCAGCGCGAGCTGAAGGAAAAATGTAACAAATATAAAATTAAAATAATTGCCACATTTGCCGCAGCGGGCAATTAATCAAAAGCCGCAATGATATGCGACACAATTATGTAGCGAGTGTGTGCGCGATGTGGGCGTGCCCTGGTGTAACCACACTCTGTTAGCCGTTTAACACTAATGAAGGCTGTTGGTGGTTGCCTTTGGCAACGTTGCCGCTGCCTGATTTGATTTATGCCCCAACATTTTTCCACCTGAAATCAAGTTCGTTTTGCTTCTTATACCCAGTGATGAATGGGCATGCAAGGGGCATGCAGAGCTTATATATATAGGAGCGTGGGCAGTTCCATAATGTATATCGCCTATGTGGTTAAATATTTTTATGCATTTTGTCAGTTACGATTGCCTAATGCAAAATGTTCTATAGATCTGCTGGCTTCTCTTTTCGTCTGTATGATTGCTTCCATCTCGAGAACCTTAACAGCTAGAGACTTAAAAATTGATGTAATGTATATGTATATACATACATATATAATATATTATACCTAATTTCTCTATAATATTATAAAGCTATTATAATGCTAAATATCAATAGTTCGATCGCATTTTGACCATAGCTCGAAATCTATTATGGCTAGAGATGCCAAATTTGTTATGTAAGCTTTCCTAGAGTGTACATAAATAAAAATTATTTTCTTTTATTTGGCTGGGCTATGAAGAATTTTTAGAATTATAAAATCCCAGAGCATATCATGCTCAATCATTTCAAATTTGGTATATGAGCTTTTTTTCTAGAACATGTTCATAAATAATACTTGTTATTATTTTTCGATAAGTCTGCCTTCACTTTTTGCTTGCAAATATATTATATGAAATGACATTATATATTTGACTAGTGTATGAGTACTTTTGTTGCATACTGTAAAAATATATATACTTTAGAACAGTTCAATAATGCCACTTTTAAGATTTAAAATATAATTATTTTATAAATAATAAAAAAAATAGTTTTTAAGCCAAATTTGTATAGTCAAAGTCTCCTTTTTTTATTATTTTTGTTTTTATTTTAAGAATTATTTAT